AAGTAAAAAAAATCAAAACGGGAACAAATACAATATTTGTATTTGCATGTAGCCCACGGGCCGTAGTGTGAGGACCCCTGCCATAGGCCTTAGGTTTGTGAATATTATTCCAGAACTGGGGTTCCTAGGTTTCATCCTCAGACATCTGCAGCCATCCTTGCTGTTCTAAGAAAGCATGGCCTTTTATGTTAGCGTCGGGCCATGTGTCCGTTGCTGGTGAGCACAGTTGGAACTGAGAAGTGGTTGCATAAATCCTGCCGGTTGTAAGTGGTGAAAGGTGCCGGTCCCTGCTTCCCTGTCATGGTTTGAGAACATTCTATTCCCACTGCTTCTGCCATGACTCATGGCTACACTGATAAAAGAGACAGAAATAGAGGTTTCCACCTAGAACGTACTTCTGGCCTTCCGTTTTTATTACTCTCTAATCCCCATTTTTTATTTTTGCTGTCTAGAAAATTCACTTCAGAAATGTTTAGAAAATCTCCGTAGTGATGACATTCCCCCCACCCAATCCCCCGTGGCAATTGCTTGTCCTCAAATTAATCATTAGCTTGTTCCTTTATTTTGTTTTCATTTTGATCTTCTCAGCCTGCTCGCAGCGAGCCTTGTGATAGAAACTCCACCTCTAACGCTAGAAACAGCAGAATTCAGATGGTAACTGGACCTGCTGAGATTTGGCAGAGGCGACCTCAGTGCTCATGGTCGTGCTCTGAGTTCCAGCTTGAAAGCCAGTTGGGGGACCAGCAACTCCACCCTTTATACTAACACAGACTTTGCTATCTTGCACCCCTTTCTACAGTTCCATGAGTTGGAAGATGTTTTATTTTTGGAAGATTTAAAAAAAAACAAACACAACACCAAAGGGCCTGATCAGTGTGGCTTAGTGGTTGAGCGTCGACCTAGGAACCAGGAGGTCACGGTTTGATTCCCTGTTGGGGCACATGACCAGGTTGCAGGCTCGATCCCCAGTGGGGAATGTGCAAGAGGCAGTATCAGTGATTTTCACTATTGATGTTTCTATCTCTTGCTCCCTCTCCCTTCCCCTCTGAAATAAAAATATATATATATATATACACACACATGCATACACACACATACACACACACAGAATTGTATTTATTGATATTTCCTTGTTTCCATTTTTATTAACCAAGAGTCTATAGCTAGGTATGAAATCAAAACATGTGCTTCAAGTAGTATAAACATCAAGCTTGATTTTTCAGGTGTTTGATTGGTGTTAGTTAACCTGTGCACCTTTACTCTGAGTAGAGAATTCTTTGAACCTTTTTAAAGATGAAAATAATGTGAAGTCCCTGTTCCGTGCTCTTTCTCTCCCCTCCCCACCCCAGTCCCCCAGTGACAGACTCCGTGGATCCCAGTGCTCCTAGGATCTCAGGCTGAGGCTGTGATCTGTACCTTGGGAGTTTGTAGTTTCATTAGCAAACTTTTTTAAATGAGAAAAGATCACTTAAAATACCCACTAAAATGAATTTTTATTAAGAAAAGTACTGCCTCCCTCCCCATTTGTGGGGGAGTGTGATAGAGAATCTGTCCCTTCTTGATGTCTGGTCCTGGGGACCCCAGCTCCTGACCATCCCTTTTTTTTAACCTGTGTTTTTAGGCCTCCCCTGTTCCTCTCGCCTATTTCCAGGAGTTTTTCTTCTCTCTGCTGGCTTTGTGCCTTCTTGAGCTTACCTACTTTCTGTTCCTGTTCCCTACTGTCTGTTTCTCACAGTGAATTGGAGCCCTGTCAGGGCAAGGGTAGCTCCATGTCCACTGTGCTGTACCAGGGCCTGCCCCGTTTGAATGGGCGCAGGGCAGCAGCAACCCCCCTCTACCTCTGGGTCCTCCCTACCTCCTGTGAGGCGAACTCTGCCCTGAGGACTTCGCATGGAGCCCATTTCAGTCCTTTCCAGGCCCACAGCAGCTCTAAGAGGAAGTAGATCACTGTTACTGTTCCCATGTTAAAGGCCGGGACTTGGTTAAAGTCATACCACTTTGCATTTGTTTAGTGACACTTTTTCCCCGTACCTTTGGCCCTTAGGATGAAAAAATAAAATGATTCAAAGACAAAACAGAGTACAAAGAGAAATAAAAAGTCTGGAAGATACGTACATGGAATAAATGTCCCCTGAATACTCGTGTTGTCAGAGGGTCGTTTGCCTTCTTTTATTTTTAAAAAAATATTTTATTGATTTCAGAGGCGAAGAGAGAGAGAGAGAGAGAGAGAGAGAGAGAGAGAGAGAGAGAGAGAGAGATCAGTGATGAGAGATCTCCTACTGGGGATCAGGCCCAAAACCCGGGCATGTGCCCTTGACCAGAATGGAACCCGGGACCCTTCAGGCCGCAGGCCGACGCTCTGTCCACTGAGCCAACCAGCTAGGGCTGGATCGTTTGCCTTCCAAAACTGCCCTCTTGGTGACACCGTGTTCCCCAGAGGCGCTGCCCCAGACCATGGCGCTGCACTGTGCATGCACTGCATTTCTAAGTTTCCCAAACGTAAGCATTTCCATGTTCAGAAATTGTTTGAGCCCTCACTGGAGACAGTGTGTATATTTATGTTGGTTTTATTTTGTGACTCCTGGTCATGCGTCACTTCCTAATCAGCAGTGCTCGTTTGCTTGGGCAGATGGTCTTGAAGAGAACATTGCCAAACAATTGGACGTGCCTGTTGCTGCTGAGGTTAATATTTAGCAGAAAAGAAAGTTGTGTTTAACCAAATAAGGCTTTGGGCATCATTAGTCGATATTTGGTTTGAAAACATCGGTTTTGTGTAATTGCACTGTCATATAGCATCTCCAGTTTAGCACAGAGACAAAGTAAAAACCAAACCACTTGATCCACAGTGAAAGTAGGAGGTGGTAGAAGAAACAATGAACCAAATTCACTTTATAGAACTTGTGTTTGTAGGATGTCTTTGGAATGATACGGATATACTGTAACTCAAATAGAATACATATTCACGGCTAGGTTTGGGTATAGTAGTAAGTAGCATTAGACATTATCAATATTAACAACAGAAGAAAATTTTTGTTTTAATCCTAATTTTTATGTTTATGCACATTTTTTTGTAAGCCATTTAAAATCCTCCTTCTTTGGGAAGGAGTTAGTCAAGTGTATATTATGAACAAAAACTTGCTGAAAAATCCCCCCATGCAATGAGCATTGGGGAAAAGGTGGGTTTAGGTGATAGTTGATATCTTGTAAAATGAAAGGCATATGCATTAAAGGGACAATAATTGTAATTGCCTTGCTCACAGTGGTGGCTTGAGAGTTGGGGCAAGGTGACCAAAAACAGCAGGTTCAATTCTACAAAGAAGGTTAACTTAAACATCAACCTATATAAATTTCCATTAAAAATCTTCGTAAGATACTAATGGGGTGATCAGTTCTTCTCACTGGATGGTTAAAGAGCAGGTGCCACTAGCCACATTACTTGGGATGGTTACTTTGAAGGGGGATGGCCCTCTGGAGTCCAAGGTCAAGGTAAAGAAATGCGGGTTTACTGAGTAGAATGGTTGCTGAGCCAGTGAACTGTCCTGGGGCAGGGGGACCCACAACTCATGGATCCAACAAGTAGTGCCAGGTGGGCCGCTCAGGGACACTGCAGAGCCACGGGTTTGGACTGAAAGATCCTTAGGTCCCTTTCATTCTCATTTGCATAAATGTTTTCATTTTCGTGGAGTTTTCTACCTGCTTCGCTAATTTCCATTGGAGCATCCTTAGGAAAATTTAATGTACATATTAAAAACCACAGTATGTATGTGTGACTTTTGTGTTTGTGCCTTTATTACCCTCTTTGTTCAGTTTGGACCAAGGAAAATATATTTTATTACCAAGGTTTAATTCTCTTGGAAAATAACGTGGAACCTACATTATCTGGGGCATTTACGCTGTAATGAGAGCAGCCGCGTGTGAACAGATGTGGTCACAAGGGCCGGTGGCCTGCTCCTCCGTTCTCTTCCAAGCCTTTGTGGTCCGGAAGCTTCTTGAATTTCTCTCTTATGTGAATGTTGATATAATCTGTCTATACTTTAGTTTTTGGAATGAATTAATTTATATGATACCCTTCTTAAATGGATTTTTTTTTTCATCTGAAGACCTTTTTGCATCTGATAGCTTTGTTTTTTATTTCATACAAGAAGTAAGGGATTATTTTTTATTATAGGTGTTAGTCTAGTGCTAGAGTGAGAGGGTCCTCAGATGTGACTGTCCAGCCTTGCATCTGCAGGGTGCCACATGCAGATATTGGAGAGGTGGTTGCCCAGCCTCTGTGGGAACATTTGCAGTGACAGGAAGCTGCTACGTTTCCCAGTGCTTTAACGGCTGTATTAAGTAGGTCCTTCCTGCCGTTTTTAGGCCAAAAAGTGTGCTTCTGGTGACTTACACCTTTAGTCCTAGCTTCGTCCTCTCATTGACACCCAGGAATATTTCCTCATTGACAGCCAGGAATATTTCTTCATTGACAGCCAGGAACATTTCTCTCCTCTCCAAGCTGTAATTTTCTCATCTTTAAAATTATCATGAGTTGCAAGATCTGGTTATCTCACCAGGATCAAGGTGAAGAACAGCTGAGATAATTGTGACCTTAGGCAAAATCCTGTCCGTGTCTCAGAGTATTACCCTCTGGGCTTCACCTCTGCTGTGTAATGTGATGGGGAAACGGCCGTGCCTGCCCATCAGTTGGTGGACCTTGATAGACACTTTCCAGTTGATGTTCTTGTCATTAACAAATGAATTAATTCATCTCTTCAGTCAACATTTATTGACCATTCACCGTGTGCCTGGCACTTGCTTGGGCCTTAAGTGAATTAAACAGTGAACAAAACAGATGTCATCTCTATCTTACTGGGGCTTAACCTTTCTTCCCTAGTCTTTTTACTTTGAGATGTAAGTGCTTTTGACTGTTCAAAAGAAAATAATATTGTTAGTCTCCTTTAACGAAGTGTCTTTAGTTTTCTGACTAGTACAATATTTAGCAGTATGTCTTTGATTCGTAGATATATGGAGTCTGGGAGTGATCCTTTTCATGTTGGTGTGCGGGCAGCCACCCTTTCAAGAGGCCAATGACAGTGAAACATTGACAATGATCATGGATTGTAAATACACGGTCCCATCCCATGTGTCTAAAGAGTGTAAAGAGTAAGTACAAAAAAGTGTGTGTTTATTTTCTTTTTTGAACTTAATATTTCTGCTCTTGATAAGTGTGTTTTGGGGAGTTAACCCCAGAATATGATTTGAAATTTAATATTAGCTACAGAGTGTATTACTGTATTGCTTAAATATGCCAGTTTTCAAGAAGCTCATTACGTGCTGTTTCAGTCTCCAGGAGAGGGGGTTACTTTACTTGAAATGAGACATTACCGTGAGAATTACTCTTCTCTGTTTGCATCAGCAACGAGGACGACCACCGGGAATTATTTTAAGTTCCAGAGAAGAGTTAGGGCATTTCTGAAATAGACAATCAACACAATTTTAGGATTTACATAGTGTGTCTCATAATTTTATTCCCACACTCCTCCTCCCAGTTAACTAAAGAGCTCTGTTTTGGTTCATGTGACTATGGGAAGCCAACCAAAAATACACTCAAGTTGATTGTCTTGGATTTAAAGTACCACACAGCACCCTGATATGTGTAGTAAGAAATATAGTGGAATAAAGGAACTGTTGGAAGTTCAGGATTTCATTGATGTTGTGGGTGATGCTTTGAAATGAGCTTGGCTGAGAGTTTAGCCACCACTTACAGGACTTTGCTGTCGTAACATAGATTCAGCTGGTAACTATGTATGTTGCCAGATGGGAAGTAGACTTCTGGGGGAATCACTTAGTGATATAGAAATGTCTAATCACTATGCTGTACCCCTGAAACTAATATAGTATTGAATGTCAACTGTAACTGGGGGGTGGGGGGAGGGGGATAGAAGGAAATCTGAGTTTGAAGAATCCTTTCTCCAGGCGGAGCCCCATCTTAGGCCATATGGGCCATCATTAAGAACTTAGGTGTTCAAACTCTCTGGATTCAAATACTAACTTCTCCCTTTACTAATGATGTGAGAATAACAGAACCCACCTTTTGGGTTATTGTGAAAACGAAATGAATTAATGTCTATAAAAGTTCTTAGCTCAGCCCTCAGCACATAGGAAGCACCTGATATGAATGTTGATGATGGGGATGTGTATGCCTTTACTATGAGTCTTCTCTGCCCCAGGAAGCAGGATATATGTTGTGTGCATGTTACATGTTTGTAATTCAAGAAGTATCTCCACAGCCTCTACTCAAAAACTTATTTTTATATTGAAATATGTTATTCACAAGAATGTTTAAATGTGTCTGTAATAAAATGAACACCTCTGTACCTGTTATCCAGCTTAAGAAATGGAAAGGTTCTAATAACTTAGAAGCCTCTGTGTCTCCCTCCAAGAGGAATTATCTTTAATAATCATAGGACCACTCAGTTTTCTACTTTCTCCTGTGTCAGTTTTGCTAAGTTGTGTTTTTCAGGGAACTCATTCATTTTTTTTTTTAATGGAAAAGCAAGCAAGAATTTATTGACCATAGCAAAAATATTATGGGGCCCTTAGAGGTTAGGGAATACGAGCCTTGGGAGAAGGAGAGAGAGAAGGGAATGGCAAGGGCGTGCTCCCTGGAGGGATAGTGCCAGGAACTGGTTCATTTTATCTACATTTTCAGATTTATTAGTCTCAAATATTCATAATCTCCTCTGATTACATTTTTAAAGTCTATAGATTAGTGGGGTTGTTGCCCTTTTTCATTCTAATATTGCCACCTGTTGCCTTATTTTTTGTCTTGTGCAATCTTGCCTGCGGTTTATTATCTTATTAGTCTTTTTCAAAGAACTACCTTTGTTTGAACAATGGACTTACTTCCCTTTCCAGCCTGATCACCCGGATGCTACAGAGAGATCCCAAGAGAAGGGCCTCTTTAGAAGAGATTGAAAACCATCCTTGGCTTCAGGGTGTGGACCCTTCGCCAGCCACCAAGTATAACATCCCCCTGGTGTCCTACAAGAACCTCTCGGAGGAGGAGCACAACAGCATCATTCAGCGCATGGTGCTTGGGGATATAGCGGATCGAGATGCCATTGTCGAGTATGTTACCATGCACCTGTAGGGGCCATGGGTTCGGATGCTTGGAACGGGCTCTCTCTGTATTGGCAGGACCTATGGCAGTGTGTGATGGCTAGAGACCCAGCTGACAGGGTCATGCCATTTATCCCTGGAGTTCCCTGCCCTGGTCCTGGCTCTTAGGTTTTATTGTATTTTGCTTATTTTTGTACTAGTGACCAAGGGGTGTCTCATTGAGCGCTGTGGCCTTTCTCCCTTCCTTCTGGGGTGCAGCCTGCTTTGTATTCCAGTATGTGCCTTGCCCATAGCAGTATTCTCTTCATTCCCATGTCCCTCACTGGTTCTCACAGTGAGCAGGGAGAATGGGGCAGCATCTCAAGTCCCCTAAGTCAGGGGTTGGCATGTGGGGGCCAGTCATGCATTTATGTAAGTAGAGTGTTAGTGAACCACGGCCGTGCCCATTCATTTATGTTTTGTCCACAGTGCATGTGCTACAGCAGCGTATCTGAGAGACTACATGACCCTTAACATCTGAAATACTTGCTCTCTGGTCCTGAAGAGCCCCTGCTGCCACCACCTGGAACCCACAAGTTATTAACTAAGTCCTTGAACAGCACAGAGAGACTTCAGAACCTCAGGGGCTTAGAAATCACCTAACTTTTAAAAATTACCTGAGCAGTTTAGAATCGAGGATAATATAAAGATGTGCTTTGCTTTAGCATTGATTCATTTCTATAGGAGGTCCTAGCTTTAGAATATGAAACACTTCCACAAAGGAAAAGTCAAACGTTATTTAACCCATTGGAACAGCTGGTACAATAGAAAGAGTGGGCTTGCCAAGGACACACACTTTAGTAGTGCATAGAAAATGATTGTTCGTTTTTGAGTAGATAGAAGGCTATTTTTGTCTCCTGAATTGCCTTAATGTTTTTAGCTTAAATAAATAAATAAATAAATAAATAAGTAGCTGCCGTGGTGTCACAGAGCTATTTAACTCACGTAAATTCAGTTACAAACCCAGAAGGAGTCTCATCAAATGGTTCAGGAGGTTCCATGTGCCCGTCCACCAGTGAGCTTGCGCCAGAGGGAAGCGGGGATCTGGACGCCTGAGCCGCCCTTCCAGGCGGTCTCGGTCTTCCTGCGCCCACAGCGTGAGCAGTGTGAACCCTCCTCTGTGGGTGACCCTGCATCAGACTCGAATGTGTTGGCTCTCGTGGGCTCTTACTTTGGAGTCTGTCCTCAGCCTGCCCGCCCACCCCTGTTAAGCTGTGGCCCAGGTGAAAAGTGATCCCCATGTTTCTTCTTTCCTACTGTTCATTGTGTATTTTCACTAACGACAGAAAGTTCCCGAAAAGCCTGGCTGCATAGTTCTGGGCCTGGTGGGCCCCTGTCACCTGCTCCTGCTGTTGCCTGGAAGGCCAGCTGCCGGGGAGCAGGCAGGGCCGCCTCGGAGGGCCAAACACCCCCAGCAGCTCCCAGCCCCGGTGGCTGCACTCGGTTCTCAGAGCATCAGTTTTGAAATGGATGAGTGAAGACATTGACAGAGAAGATGCTAATGCCAGGCTCTCGGTTACATCAATGATAATGCATTAACATGTAAAATTCCAATCAATGCCAGGAGAGTGTAAGAGTAAAAACAGATTTCTGTGGTTGGTAGTAGTGTTTCATACACATTCACAGAACCCACTTCACACTTCTGATGGCAGCAAGTAAGCCAGCGCAACGAAAACAATCACTTTGACACAGAGTAAAGTTGGGATAATGTGTACATTCATGAAGCCTCATTTCCTTTTATGCACCCAAACCTGACATCTAGCCCACATGCCATCAGCATTTTGGATTTTTCTTACTAACTGAATATTTTTATGCAGTTTTTTTAGAGTTTCAAAAGTAATCTAAATACTAGGTTTTTTCTTATTTGTGATCTTTCTTAATTTTAAAGACTGAGCACTGGATCCATTTGCTTGGACTGCACTTTAAAAGCATCAGTTCTGCTTGTAAAAATCTGCTACTGAGGTCTCTGCACTCTCCCTGTTTCTCCAGAGCCCTGGAGACCAACAGGTACAACCACATCACGGCCACGTACTTCCTGCTCGCCGAACGGATCCTGCGGGAGAAGCAAGAGAAAGAAATCCAAACCCGGTCTGCCAGCCCCAGCAACATCAAGGCCCAGTTTAGGTGAGAAAAAATCTTCACTGATTTTAGTAAGTTAACGTTTTGAAATAGTGAACGTTGTTTGTTTGCTTGCTTAATGCTTCCTAACTCTGGGGCAAGATTGTGAACAGTGATGGGGGCTCTCCACACGCGTGGGGGCTGGGACCCTGCGTCACCAAGGATGCCGTGGGCTCCTGGGCTCCGGGGGCTGCGGCTGCTGGCCTGGCCGGGAACAGGTTTGGAGACGGTCTCAAGCCAGCGTGTCTGTAGTTTATTTTCATTAAACTCTTCTAGGTCTGACATGTATTAATAAGTTCATTTCTTTATTCTTTTATTCCAGGAACAAGGCCAGTTTTCCCTCAGTTATTTGAAATAACTTTTAAAAATAACAGGGCATTTCTGGGCCATGATGTTGTCTCAGGATTTCAGGGATTTGACAGTCAGATTAACCAGTTGATTTATTGTCTGATGACCTGGGGAGGTCACTTAACCTATGACTCAGCTGCTGAGTCGGCCTGTGAAGTGGGAGGAAGCACACTGCCTGCCTCCTGGGGTGCGGTGAGAGCCAGATGAGTTAGGGCCTGTGGGGTGCGTCCGGCCCGGCTCCCTGTTGCTGCCTTTGGTAGGACTATCACCACCCTGTCTCTCTTTTCCTCCCTCCTTCCTGAACTCTCCATCCTCCTCCCCAGTTTCCTGTTCTCCTGCCATGCCAGCTTTCCGCTTAAAACCAGAGCGTAGGAAGGGTTACCTTTGACACCATCATTAGGAAATTTATTAGAATTCATATCCAGATAAAGTAACCCCTGGATCTGTAGTGATTCAAAAACCAAAGGACGCTCCCAATTCTGAATAATTCTCTACTCGTACATCCAACAATGAATGATTATATGTGTGTGAATATATACTTATTTAAAAAGAGGAGGAAAACCATTGGGGTTAAATTCCCTGCAGTCACTTGCCATGCTAGGTTGTTGCTTGGGCTGGGGTGACAGGAGAGAGAGAAGAAAGCAGTCCTGGTGGCTGAAGAAGAAGAGAGTGAGAAGTCTGAGCTGGAAGCTGAGTGTAGGAACTCCGTGTCCTGCACACATTCTTCTGTAATGGAAACTAGGCACGCTGTCAGGTGTCGGCTTGGAAGAGGCCTGGGCCCAGGGAGCCAGGGGACTCCGGGCATGAGACAGAGCAGGAGAGTGACACGGAGAGGGTGGGCCAGCCTCGTCCTGCTGAGCCCTCTGGTGGGAAAGCACAGCCTCCGAGGAGCTGGGCCACCAAGTCGGGAGCCACCCAGTCCTTTCGGAGAAGGGATCTTTGGATTCGAGCTGTTGTCTGTTCAGTGAGACAGAACAGAGCTCAATCTAAACGTGATCAAACAGTAACTGAGTTAAATTGGTTTTACTTCTGGAAATGGCAAAGCCAATAGCAGCTTTAAAGAAGTATCAGAGCCTCCCACAGTGTTCCTTTACCCTCCTGGGGATTCTGGAGTGGAGACACCCTGCAGGCCCGTCTTCCTCCTGTGTCTGCTTCCTTGCCTTCTCTTTACATCACTGTGACCTCAATGTCCAAACCCTGGGCCTGACTTGGCTCTGTGGCTGAGGATGCCTATGGTCAGCCTGACCACTACAGCTGTAGCCTTCACCCATCCTGTTTCCGGGGGTGGGGAGGGGAGGAGAGAAGAGCCTTTATCAGGCTGTGCCCCTCCCCATCCTTCTCGAATGGACTGGCTGCTGCTCTGGCGAGTCAGTCCCCCGCCATGGGCTCCCCCATGGTCGTGGGGTGATGTTCTGGTAGCTGCTCAGCCTGAAAGCACAGTGTGTGCGGTCTGCTCTGCAGGACCTCGAGGCTCACCGGGAGTGGGCGCAATGGTGTTGGTGGAGGACAGACGATTTTTCCAGAGACACTGCTTGACCTCAAACACATGGAACACTCAGCTTCTATAAACTACCATGCAGTGACGATAGCAAATGGCCCTCCACCCTCGAGGGAACGTGATCCGGCTCTGAGTTGGGGGCAGGGTATCGGCTATAAATGCCAGGAGTTTTACCAGCTATAGATTTAATTAGGTGTTATTTCTAGGATAACATAACTGGTGTGAAATGAAGATGTCGTCGTGTGGAAGTGGCTGTTGTAAACGTGTCTGGCATCTGCTGGTCCCTGGGCAGGGAGGACAGCTGAGAATTCCAAGATGTTTATTCAAAACAAGCCAGAGACCTCATTTTCCAAAGTCTTTCTCTTTAGCTACCAAGCAGGGTTCTCGTTGCTTGAGTGACCCCAGATGGGGGATAAACTCAGAGTTTATGTCATAGTGGACTTTGCTATCCAGTACTCTTCCTGATCATTGAAAATGCAAGTATTTCTATTTTGCTGGTTGCATTTTTTTAATTGGTGAGGAGATGATATATGCCAGCATTCACCGACTCTTCTCTCCAACATTCTCATGTTAAATCCATTCAACTATTTCCATTTATTTTTGTAAATACCAGACTTTTACAAAAAGGAGGTCTGGAAATTTCAGGTGAATCTTCTTGGCAACACACCATCACAGGCTGCGACCTCAGACCCAGAGGGACAGAGTGTGTGGTGTTCAGGTTCTGCTTTGGTGATGACTCCCATGTGCTTTTAAAAAATGCTTTTCTTGGGGCATACACTGTTGTAGAGGAGAGGCGCCCCTGGCAGACCCTTTTCTGACAGCTGGGACAACGTGCCCTCAGGTGTCCTTGCTGACCGTCAGGGGGTGGCATGAGCTTGCATGGCTGCCGTTTCTTTTCTTGTAAGTGTGCAGGTTTTGTCCCGGTACATTGTGTCTCATGTCCTTCAGCAGTGTCTGCGTATGGTGACATGACGTGTCCTTTCCCATCTGTTCTGCAGGCAGTCGTGGCCCACC